TAAAAAATTACCGTTACTTACTTCAGCTAGATCCATGATGTAACCGGGCAACCTTCCTTTTCTCTTCTAAAGAGAGGCCTTTATCTATCTTTACCAGCCTTGCCCTGAACATATCCTCAGCTGTTTTGGAAAGCGTGGGCCACTCAAGAGGATTTGGAAGGTTTAGGAGGAAAGACTGCAACTACTCAGGGTATTCCCAGAGTTGTGCTATTTTATGGAATAAAACTGGAAAGAAAAAAAAGGCAGAGAACAGAAAGGTAATAGGAGAAGCAAGAGAAAACAGTCCAATAGACAAAGATAATGGAGTAGAGGGTGTCTAAAAAACAGACATCAAAGCTACCAAATTAAACTGGAGACACTTGACAGCTATCAAAAGATGACTGCATTTGGTCAGGAAGTCATTTCTAGTAACAGTTTCTGTGGAATGGAAAGTGAAATAAATGAATTGTGTGTGTGTGTGTGTGTGTGTGGTACTTTCGTCAACTGAATAAGAAAAAGAAACTAAGCAATAATAATTATAACAAGAGAGAATAATGAAGTATAAAAGCCAAGAGTCCATATTATGCATATTGCTAGATATTAGATAAGAAAATAAAATCATTCCATAATCAGATCTATAATCTCATATGCAGGGTCATATGAGAATTTATTGATTTTTTTTCAAGATGGGAGATTTGAAGACATGATGGAAAAAAGGCCAGTGCGGAAGATTTAGAGGAATGATAAAAATCTGAGTACAGCTTGCTGACAGCTGTATGAAGGAGGAAAGTCATAGGAACAAGACAAAATGGAATTTTACCCTTGAGTTCCTGAAAGAAGTGGAAGTAGGTATGTGATTAAGCCCTGCAGGAAATCCGTACTGGGATTCTGGTCACTGACGTGCAAGCTAGGTTTACTAGAGGTTAAGTGGACTTCCAGAGGCTGGCATTCATGATGTGATCTGTTTTAGCCTGCTTTTGAGATAGGGCTTCTGTAGTGGTCAGGAAGTCTACTCTAGCCCCATCTACATTGATGCCTCCCACCATGTGCGTCCCTTATATCTTTAATTCTCTATCAGCTTTAGGGAGGTTATTTATGCTCCACTGCACTATGAACTCTGGCCTGGGTCTCACTTTAGCTCTGGTACTCAACATACTGAGCTTGCATTTGGTAGGCACTCAACAAATAATAGCAAAATGAATAAATAGCTAAAGAAAATATTACAGCTAGCCTGGGATGTAGCTGGCCTGGTGCCCACAATGCTGTCAACTTAGATAACATTTGTTCAAAATACTATCAGATAGAATATTCTCTCAGGAAAATTCTACATGATTTTGAACTATGTGCTACACAAACTGATTACAACAAATGCTAAGTTAACACTCAGAGGTACACCCTTGAAGTGTTTTAAAGGTAATTTGAATTCAAATGGTTTCTAAATTAAACAATAAACATTTCATGACTGGAAGATATCATCGGTCATTTATAACAACAGCTTCTGTGGGGGTTACCTAACCCAATGCCCTCTCAATGGATGTTCAAATATACTCTTTACTAGTTTAACATTAAGTGAATTTTAGAGTTTACTCCAATACCTCCAGTGATGAAAATATGCCTCTTTCTAAAAAAAAAAAAAAAAAAAAAAAACCTTCACTCCATTTTTGGATTGTTCTAGACAGAGAATTCTGGTGACACCCATGCAGCTTTCCCAATGGGTCCCCATATTGAAGTAACTACAGAATAGTCTTCCTTGTGTCTGATGGTTACAGCATTCTCTCCCAATACCTCTCTTTTCTTCCTCCTTTGGCCTCTTCATGTGATACCCATGCCAGATGAAAGACATACCTATCCACATGTTTTCTCATCACTTATACTTAAGCTCGCTCATGAAAACCAACAAAACAATTAAAGATATTAAAAAGTATGAAATTGGGGCGGAGGGGAGGGGGCCTCGGGCAGCTGGAGGGATGGCTCAGCACTTAAGAGCACTGGCTTCCCTTCCAGAGGTCCTGAGTTCAATTCCTAGCCACCACATGGTGGCTCACAGCCATCTGTCATTCAATCTAGCGCCCTCTTCCGCCCTGCAAGAACACATGCAGACAGAATGTTTCATACATAATAAATAAATCTTTTTTAAAAAGTATGAAATGGAGGTAACATACATAGTCACATGGGAATAACAACAGTCATGCATATGCACATTGGAGATCTGTCATTATGTCTGACTCTCACATCTCTTTCTATCCTGATTCTGAAATGCCTTACCTTAATCCAAGGCCCCACACTGTCAGGGTCAAATGCAGACTGTAGAAAACAGATACAAAGTATTAATGCACAATAATCATTCTATCAACAGTGCCATTTTAAGCCATCCTTCCCACTAATGCAGATGGAAAGTTCATATGCAAGTTCAGCATCAACCAGCAATGAGAGCACACTAAACCACAGTAGAAGGAACAGGAAGCCTTATTACTTCTTTTCTAACCTGCCTTGAGACTGTAATGTAACTGATCAGCAGTCTAGGCATCAGTGTTTTTTCTTAAATTCTCCAGGGCTGAGCCAAGGTACAGAGATACTGGATGTGAAACTCCATACTAATACTGGTTTAATTCACCTCTCCTGTAATTCTCTGCTTAAAGACTGTTATGGTCCTTTCTTCCTACTTAAAGGCTGTTATGGTCCTTGCACAAGTATCCAGCTGCCTTCCTGTCCTTCCTAGACCCAAGATGATGTGTGGTCCAACAGGAGTGGGGGTGAAGAACAGAATTATATTACTCAACTTCTACTGTTGCACCAAGCATATAATGAAGAAAATTAATCTCTATCCAGATGATTTCGCTTTTTTTTATTTTTCAAGACAGGATTTCTCTGTTTAACAACTCTGGTTGTCCTGGAACATAGACCAGGCTGGCCTTGAACTCACAGAGATCTGCCTGCAGCTGCCTCCTGAGTGCTGGGATTAAAGTCGATTTTTTAGGGGGAAGGGCAGGGTTTCTCTGTGGCTTTGGAGGCTGACCTGAAACTAGCTTTTGTAAACCAGGCTGGTCTCGAACTCACAGAGATCTGCCTGCCCCTGCCTCCGAGTGCTGGGAATAAAGGTGTGCCCCACCATGCCCAGCTCGGGATTAAAGCCGTTTGACACTTCCCAGCATTTCTACCCAGATGTGATATTAATCTGAAACAAGAGATCAGACCTCAAAGAGCCTCCACTCTATTCTCTGACTCCCAGAAGCTTTCAGAACTCTCTAATAACCACTGAGCAAACAGGGGTATTTGCTCTGAAAAAAAAAATCAGGTATTTAAAAATAAAAATGATGGGGCAGCAAACTAACTGGCACGTGGAAGTTGGTGGGAAAGGCCCAATCCTCTCCCTCGCTTCCCTACTGTCACCTTTCCCACAATTACTGCAGCTGTTCTGCTGAGTAACTGTCAGTGCAACAAAGAAAGAGCTGATCCTATTCGAACACAGTGGAATTTCAAGGCGCTCTTGTGTCTTTACTTTCTTTATCCTCTAGACAGTAATAATGAACATTATCAGCAAGAAAAGGGAAAAAAATCCAACCCTCTTTTTTTGTAGTTCTAAGTTGTCCCAATTATTTTTTACCTTTCATCATCAAATCTATATTCATAAGCTATTTTTGGCCCCATCTATTATGCAACTGATACTTTGCAGCTGGAGTGACCTCAGTTTCCACTCTCTAATGCGCTGGCCCGTGCCTTCCAGTATCAGGAGCATGATTTCCACTAAGTGGAATGTGCCCTGTGTACATAGTTCCTATATTTAGAGTACCCCACAGAAATGACTGCCGGGGGCACCCACAAAACCCACACAGCCAAAGGATTGTTTTTCTGTTTGAAGGAACGTGAGGGGTGAAAAAGCTGGCAAAACTGCTCTGCAGCTGAAAGTTGAGTTCCCTCCATTTCGACATTCTCATTTGCATTTGCAGCAATTATTTTTGTGGCTGTTAAAGAGGTAGGTATTCTGGAAGGCACACTTGATATGACCGTGATTTTGCACATGTCACTTTTGTGTGTTCCAAGTTTTAAAAGGCACTGCCATTTTTTTCCTTTCTTTCTTTCTTTCTTTCTTTCTTTCTTTCTTTCTTTCTTTTTTTTTTTTTATGCCTTTAGGAGCTAGTGCCCACAGTGGTAATAGACAAAGGATGTATCTTTGAATGCTGGTGGAATTTAGAAATAACCATATAATAAAGTATTGAGATGTAACCACTTGGACTTCTGGGTTCATTTTAGATACCTGATATAAAACTGGAAGCGGGGGATATAAGGGATAACAGCAGAGAATTCATGTGATTGGTTTTTTGTTTTTTGTTTTTTTCCTATCAAAGGTCCCTTACCTAAGATTTGAAAGGAAGGGGAAGAAATGTGAGGAAAGTTTCCTAAATTTGGTGTCAGAGGTAAGGATTAGGGGCAAAGTTCCCTCACCCTATTGGGCACTAGTAGACCTCTCCGCTTAGATGGTAACAATCCTTACGGGTTGCTGCCCACCAGAGTGCAAAGACCCCAAGGCTCCTAGAACCACACCTCTGTGTTGGCTCGAGGGCAGTCAAGGCCAGGTAAGGATGCCCCCGGGGGAAGAGTGAGGAAACGCAGGGCGGGAAGAGGCTGGCTTTAGGACTGTGTGGCGCCTAGGGTCAGCCCATATTCCTCAAAGCTTCCGATTGGGATCACCTTGGGAGTCAGCTTCCCTGTGAACCGTTTCCAGCGACTCGGCTCCGTTCTCTTCTTTGAGGACATTTCCTGGGACGCCAGCAGCATTTTTTCAAGCTCAGGCCTAGACTTTATCCACAACAGCGTCAATCGCTCCTCCTCCCACGCTGCATTCGGGTGGTGCTGGGAGTTGTAGTTCCACCACCTGCCAGTTAGACAGGGATCGGACATTTTGGAACTACTCCTCCCAGGAGGCATCGCGCGGGAAGCGCTCATTGCCCAGTTACCATGGCAACGGTGGGGCTCGCTGGGTTTGCTTTAGCAGGGCCTTTACTTAAGTCTGGCGCTTGGCGATGACGCAGAACTTCCTGATTGGCTCTGCAGCAGAGCCCGTGGTTCTGCGGCCGCGAGTTCTGCGAGCCGAACACGTGTTATCTCCTGCAAGGAGTTTAAGGGTCCTTGCAGTGCCGAGAGTTGTAATCTACGGGGTGAGTGTCTCTTTTCCTTGATTAGGGTGGGTAGGTCGCGCCCACTTTCTTGATTGCATGTCTGTCTTACTCCTACCTTGACATTTCCTGGTTTCCTGTTGGTCTAGGCTTCTGCCAGCTCTGTCTCCCCAGTGAGATTACCGGACACGTACTTCTGAGGGAAAAGGACTTCAGTTCCTTTCTTCCGGCCTCTGCCCTGTGGGGAGCTGCTCAACCGGAAGTTGAATTTACCAGGTACTTGGGAAGGTAATAAAAGTAAACTAACTCTCCAGCTCCAGGGATGGCTAACGGAATTAAAAGAAAATTTAACCTCAGTAGCCAAGCCTGGGTGTTGTGAAGATGTATGTTCTTTCAAGGCAGGGTAGAAATTTAGCACTGGAGGTTTGGACCTAGCTGCTTGTTGGCAATTCAGTGTACTATTGGTACAAAGTAGGACTGTACCTACATCCTGAGAGTATTGTGATGATTGAAAATGCATGTAAAATACTCTGCCAGGAATTGCAAAGCAAACTGCAGACTGGTGGGATACGATACGGAACGCTGCATCCCCATTTCTTCTAGTACCTGCTGTCTAACTTGAGTATGAACTAGGAGGAAGATGGTTGCACGGGTTGGCTTACATTCAGACCTTACAAGTCACAACAGCACTTCATTTGGAAGAGTTAGTTTCATGGCTGTTTGGGAGAGGTGCCTATTTTTTTCTGAGAGAAAAGCAGAGTTCAGAGAAGTGTCTTATGCCCTGTTGTAATTTAAGAAAAGTGCACTTGAGAGAAAGACGCCATGTGACAGGGTTCAAGCCGAGGGGTCTCTTATTAGGGAAAGGGGAGGGGGAAGACTCGCCTCCAGGGATGGGAGCAGCAGGAGAAAAGTGGGGGAGAAAGAGAAGGACGGGAGGTGGGCAGGGCCCTTTTAAAAGGGAACATAGTGGCTGCAGCTGAGGGTGTATCCTGTCAGAACCCCACGGGCCAGTACAGATGCCTGAATACTAACATGCCCAGATCACAGGGACCCCACCCAAAGACCACTGAGGAGACCGAATCCATATGCAAAAGCAAACAGCCTTTATTCAAGCCCGAGCTTGGGCTCTCCGCCTATCTGATACAGTAGTTGAGACCAGAGTGCCCAGTGCGGGCAGGGTAGGGTTTGTTTGTTTGTTTGTTTTTGTTTGTTTGTTTGTTTTTTGTCATAGTAGAGGTTGGGGGTGAGTGGATTTTCAGGGCTCAAGACTGATTGGCTGACGTTTGTCTAAGGGTGTCTTGGTGAACGGGGAATAGGTGCTACGCTAGGCTCAAGGGCTTCTAATGGTCGTATCTCATTTTATCTAAGGATTGGGATGTTTGGAATGTCAGGTACTACTCCCTAGATGCTGGCCCTCCCTGGGTGGTTTCAGCTTATGGCTTTTCCTGGAAAAGTCTGCCAGTAAACTGAAACTCAGGCCTACATTTTTAGCTGGTTTTCATTAAGCCTGCCATGACAGCAGTGCCCAAGTTGTTCTGGGCCCCACAGAGTGAACATAATACAGTATGTGTTCTTTTAGAAAGGCTATAGATAGAGTAGTGGTTCTCAAACCTTCCTAATGCTGAGACCCTTTAATACAGTGTTGGGACCCCCAACTCTCAGATTATTTTCTCTGCTACTTCATTACTAATTTTGTTACTGCCATGAATTGTAATGTAAATATCTGTGTTTTCTGATGGTCTTAGGCGACTCCTGTGAAAAGGTCATTTCACTTCCCCCCAAGGGGTCGTGTCCCACAGGTTGAGAAACATTGCTGTAGAGGCTAGAAAGATGGATTAGAGACAGAGGAAGGAAATAGGAAAAAACAATAACACTGTAGCAAAATGAGAAGTATCACAGTTAGTATGGAAACATTTCATGGGCTGTGTGAGAAACTTCAATTTCTCCTAAGTCACCAGCCTATATTACAGTCTCAAAAACTAGAGTTCTGTAATTTCAGGACCAGCTCTGCCAGTTACCACTGGTGACTGTCTTAGTCACTGTCCTATTTTTGTGAAGAGACCATAACCAAAGCCAGCTGTTATAAAAGAAAGCATTGATTTGGGGCCTTGCCTACAGTTTCAGAATTTCAGACCATTAACGTCATAGCAGGAAGCATGTTGGCATGCAGGCAGACACTGGAGCGGTAGCTGAGAACTACATCCTGATCTGTAGGCAGAGAGAGGGCTTGGCATGAACTTCGGAAACCTCAAAGCCCACCCCTAGTGACACACTTCCTCCAACAAGACCACACATCTTTATCTTTCTAATCCTTTCAAACAGTGCTACTCTCTGGTGACTAAGCATTCAAATATATGAGCCTATGGGGCCATTCTTAGTCAAAGTCAAACCACAACTGTGACTTTATTAGCTTCACTTTGCTAATTTGTAAAAGGCAGGAGAGAATAGACTGTGTTGTATTTGGTATGAGGGTTAATGTAGCTATTGTATAAAGCCCAACAATAAATACCCAATAAATGTAGCTACTGCAATTGCTAGGCCTTTCAGTGGATGAGATTAGCTTTATTGTGATCAATAACATTTAAACTACTCAATCATCATTTGCATTTTTTTTCTGTTTTTTTGAGACATGTATTTCTTTCTGACCTGAAACTCAGAGGTTTGCCTGCCTCTGTTTCTCAGGTGCTAGGATTAAAGATATATATCACCACTCTGCTAGATATTTTTTCTTTCTTTTTAAGATTTACTTTTATTTTCTGTGTGTGACTATTTTTGTCTGCATGTATGTATGTGTATCACAAACATGCATGGCGCCCTCAAATGAGAAAGGAAGCCTGATCCTCTGGAACTGCAGTTACAGACAGTTGTGAGTGGCCATTTGGGTGCTGGGACCTGGGTCCTCTGCACAAATAGCACTGAGCTGATGCAGCAGTCCTGTGTTTCCTATTTTGATGTGCTTTATTTGTTTTCTTTCTTCCTTTTTTTATATCCTTCATGGGATAATTGAAATTTCCTTAAACTCCTCTATTCCTTTCAAACATGTTTATATATTGTATATTACATCATTCATTTCCTTGATGACTGTTTCCAAACTTTTAGCACATGTACCTAGTAAAGTTTAGTATTGTTAGTGTATTACTCTCCCCCTACCAAATAGCATAAAAATTCTAAAATATTTAAAATATGCATCCATCATTTCTGAATCGACTCGGTGCATCATAGTGTTCAGAAGTCCTTTATAGTTTGTTTCTGTACATATATAGATGATGACTCTGTAGGGAGAAGATGGAGGAGATATGGATATTTTTTAACAAATATTTGTAATTCCCTCCCTCCCCCCAAAAAAATGATCGTCTAAGCTTGCTGCATTCAGTTACCAAATTTGGGCCCTCTTTCCTTAAAGACAATCCATTCAGGAAGCATTGAAAAATTCTCCTGACAGACAAGGGCAGAGAGGCACCAGCTGTGCTGGGGCAGGGTGTTGTCAGAAAAGCACAGGTTTACTCACAGCCGGTCAGTTTTCCCCAGCCTCGGGGTCCCTCCCTAAGACCTCCAAAAGCTGTGTTTGAGGAAGTGAAATGAAAAAGACAAAACCAGCAGTAGAAGAGACTCACAATAAGTGAAAAGGGAGGGGACGGTGACAACGGCAAATAAAGCCATTTGATGTCTTGGAGACATTGCTCTGCATCTTGAACTTTGCTTGGGTTAGTGGTTATGTCACTCCCAAATTGTGTCTTAAAAACTCCGCCCTGTGGTTGCTGGAGGCTGTTGTGTGGGTACAGCTTTCTAGTGGATACAGTGGGCCAGAGAAACCCTGTGATTGATGCATGGTGGCTGTTTCTTCTCAGCAGCTGCCATAGCCCGGTCATTGGAACATTACTTTAAAAAAAAAAAAAAGACAAAAACCAAAACCTATGTACATCAGTATATATTAATTCATAATAAAGATTGTATATAAAAATGTTACAACTAGAAAAACCTATCTGACATTGGACAATGAATGAGGATAGGAAGTACTGACTCTAGCTTGAAAGAAAAAAATCTATTTATGTTTTTGAATGTTGATTTCCAGCTAAGGTGCATTTTCTAGGGCCAATAAGATGGTTCAATGGGTAAAGGTGCTGGCCACAAAACCTTATGACCTGAGTTTGATTCCTGAGACCCTACATGGTAGGACACACTCGCACACATCCAACACACACACACACACACACACACACACACACACACGTGTAATAAAATAGTGCTATCCTTTCTTCATTTTTATTTCTTGAGACAGCCTCTCACTGTGGACCCCAGGTTAGCCATGGAGTCAGTATCCCCCTGCATCAGCCTGCGTCTGGCATTAATGGTATTCACTACCACAACCAGTTTGTAGGTTTCTCAATATTCACTCCATCAGCACGAAATAGAATCACTGATACTATGCAGTTCCCTTTTTGGAAATCATCTTCTTTTATTTTTCTTTCTTTTTTTTGTAAGTTTGCCCTTTAACACTTTAAATTACCATTACTTGGGTGAAACTTATGAAGCCCAAAGCAGCAGAATGGATACACAGCATCAAAAAAAAATTTTTGGATCTAATTTTTTACATCTCAATCCTAATTCCTCCTGTCTCCTTTCCTCCCACTCTCTCCACGGAGAGGGTAAGTCCTCCCCCTCTGGCTCAAGGAGAGGATTCAATAGGTAAGCTGAGGGTTTGCATTTGGTCTTTAAAATTATGGGGATTAACCATCCCAACTAAAGAGCTGTATCACACAAAAGCCAGTCTCTGCATCTAATAACTGGGGACTGATATCTTCAAAGGACTAGTATTTTAAACTGTGTATCTCAACCCCAAATGAGTTTGTCCAAACAAGGTGGGAGGGTCATATGAAAATTTCACGACAGTAAAATTGATCTGAATGTATAGCAGTCATGAATTTAAAGCACAAATAATCCAAGGTGTGTCTGGAAACACTCGCCGTGCTGTGTTGTGGAGCTCCACTGCAGGCTTGGAGTAGAATGCACAGCTATACTGTGTGTGCTGTTGTACCACGTGAGTCCAACAAGCACTGTCTCAAATGCCTCAGCCCAGATTTAAGACTGTTGTGTCTTGTGAGTTGTCAAGTTTATACTCTACATACAAACCTTATAGAAAAAGCATCGATGATTATAAAATCAAAATTTTAATCAACTCTGAAAAATATTCAAGGTGTATCTCTTTAATATCAGATACTATGCCAATATCTAATTCTTTCTATAAAAACTAAGTGCATTCATTTCATTCGTATGCAAATTTGTTTTAACCTGCTTCCATTTGTGTGTGCACAGGCTGACACGAGGAATCCTCCATCCTTCTGCCTTATCCAGTGGGGTGGGATCACTCAATGAAACCTAGAGCTCACTAGTATCACTGGTTCTCCAGCTTGCTTTCTCTGTCTTCTGGGGATAAACCTGTCATTTACATGGGTTCTGGGGATTGATGCTTTAACCATTGAGCTATCTCCACAGGCCCTTCATCTTCAACAAATGGTAAAATTAGATGCGTAGCAGAGATGTGTGTTTTCTTTATGATTTGTTATTAATGAATTTTTGTGCTTATTTTATGTATGTAGGTTTTACAATTTCTTTGGCAAAAAGAGGTTGTGCATAGAAAGTGTAAGCAGCTGTGCTCCTGTGTTAGCCATGGCTTACAGCAACATGGCTCTGATTAAGAGGGAAAGAAGCTGTGTTTTCTCCAGTCACAGAAGGTTGGGAAAGGGTGATGGAGAATGCTCTCAGGATTAAATTATATGCTCCAGGCTCTCCTGGGAAATGATGGGGACTCTTAGACTGTGTATATTCTTCCCTCTTGAGGAGCTGGGCTTTCCCCAGGAGAAGAGTAAGTTTTAGAAGCTAAGAGTCTGGGCTTCCAGGTTTAAATGCCTCTGCACTCTTGAAACCTCTGCACTCTTGAACAATGGCTGTTCTGCCCTTGGAGAATGAGTTGCTTTATGTTGAGAGTTTGTGACAGTTGCCTTTATGAATATATTTGTTCCTTATTTTATTCTCTTTGTACCTAGTTTTATGCTTTCCTGTATGGGCCTTCTGTAGAGCAAAGGAACTTTTCCATTTTTCCTTTATCTGATTTTGTTGGTTAGTCTCCAATTTTAAAAATTGCTCTTGGACTTGCTGACTTGTTTCATTCTTTAAAAAAAATCAGCAATCTGCATTAGATAAAGTTTTGCTTTGTTTGCATTTTGGTTTGGATTAGAGCAGAATTTTCAGCCATTTCTGCATATGCATGCCTCTGCCATTTTGTTCTATATATTTGTGCAAAATGACCTCCTTTAATTCTCATATCTGTATGAGTGAGAAACCTATGACACTTGTCTTTCTGTGTGTGACTTATTTTATGTAACAATGATCTCTGGCTCCATCCATTTTCTTGAAAGTGACATTACATAGTTTTCCCTTGTGGTTGGTAACGTAAGTTTTCTCTGCCCATGTTGAAGCTTTACTTTTTACATACTAACTCAGATACTGCTCTGTGAAGGCTCTTACTACTTTTCTGTGCATTTAATTTAAAAATACAGATTTTTATTTTATTATTTTAATTTTAAAGAGCTTGTTTCACATGTCAATCCCAGTTCCCTCTTCCTCCCCTCCTCCCGCACTCTCCCACCATCCCCTGCCAGCCTTCCACCCTATTGCCATTTCCTTCCACATAGGGGATATCTAGAGTCTGTCATTTCACTCAGGGCAGGGTCCAGGCACTCCTCTAAGAGTCCAGGCTGAGAGAGCATCCCTCTTTGTGTTATGGACACACGAAGTCCGTTTGTATGCCAAGGATAAACACTGATCCACTGCCCAGGGCCCCATAGGTTGCCCAGGCCTCCTCACTGACTCTCACAGGTGGTGGTGGTGCATGCCTTTAATTCCAGTACTCAGGAGGCAGAGGCAAGCGGATCTCTGTGAGTTCGAGGCCAGCCTGGTCTAAAAGAGCTAGTTCCAGGAGAGCCTCCAAAAACCTTGTCTCAAAAACACCAAAAAAAAAAAAAAAAGATAATAGATCTTGTACATTGAAGCTCTTTACATACCTTAAACAACTCAAACAAGCCATTTTCTGAAGGGGAAAAACAGCAGGCTCTTGTTTCTAGAACTTTCTGAACTAGCTCCTTACCATAGTGTCTTTTCTCAAGTGTTCACTGCTTTTGACTTTGCATGGCTTCAGAGCACTACTGGTTTAAAGTAGTTAAGAATGTAAATGAGTTCTAGCCAGTAATGAGGAATAGGAGTCTGGTGTCATTTTCTAGGTTACAGTCTTCCTGCCTGTAGTTAGGTTTTTTATAATGTTACAGGATGTTTTCATCTTTTAATCATTTAAATAACTATCAACATTGCTTCTGCTTTTGAAAAAGTAGCTCTTATACTATTTACCATTAAAATGTTAGTTTTCCCTTAACATTTATTTCTAACAGGTGTAGTTTTTTGATTTGACTAATGTAAGTACTTATTGGTAGATGAGAAACTATATGGAGTTGAGGCAACTGAGAATAAAGTTGAGATTGAGTGTAGAAAACTTGGGAAGTTTTATACTCTATTTTTAAAGTAATATTGTAAGTCTTTGAGTAGTTCATACAGTATATCTTGATCATATTCTCAGGGCTCCCTCTTTCCCCCCTCCCAGGTCACTTCCTCCTCCCCCCCCCACTTCTTGTCTTTCTCTTCTCCACCTTAGTTTTTAAGGCAGGGTCTTTCTCGGAATATGGAATTCACTGATTTTTTAGACTGGCAGGTGAATGAGCTCCAAGCCAAGCCAGTCCTCCTTGTCTGCCCCCACCCCCACCTCCAGCTCTAGGGTCGTGATTCTCCACGATATGCCTGCCTGGCTTTTATTTGGGTCCTGGGGATCTGAACTCAGGTCTTCATGTTACATGGCAAGCATTTTGGGTACAAAGTATCTTTCCAAGCCCCCAGTAACAGTAATTTTTATGTTTTTTTTTCATTTTTTCAACTTGAAATGATGCTGTAGTCAAAGGAAATTGACTTTTCACAAACATTTGTACTAGGTTTTATAATTGATGACTTATGTGAAGTATCATTAGAATATACAGAAGGTAATTATTCTTATGTCTAATATTCTTATGATTGTAATAATCATTATTTAAATTAAGAATTTAGTCTTAAATCATAATATTTGTTTTTTAATTCCTTTTTTACCTAATGTGACTGCTTGTTTATTTGGTCATGTCTTTGTGTATGTGGAGGGTGGATATATGTGTATGCATGCTAATGGAGGTCAGAGGGCAACATCTAGTGTCATTCTTCATGCCTGTACCACCTTTTTTAAGACAGGGTCTCTCACTGGTCTGAGACAAGCAGATTGGACTAGGCTGGCTGGCCACCTAGCCCACAGGTATCTGTTTGTTTCACCTCCTAAGACGTAGTATTACAAGCATCTACCCCATTCATAAGGCCCAGCTTTAAAAATGTGGACTCTGGTGATTGAACTCAGGTCCTTGTACTTGCAGGGCAGTCCCTTTACCTACTGAGCTATCTCCAACTCTGTTGGGTTGTCTGAAACAGTAATTGTCTTTGAAAGGGATGCTTTAGAAGGTAGGCTCTCCAGTTGCAGTTTTACCACATAATAACTACAATCAATCATTTACTAGTAGAACTTGGGGGAGGGGCTGAGTCAGTGTATAAAGCACTTGCCCTACAAGCATGAGGACCTGGGTTTGGATTCCCAGCACCCATGCATATGCCTGGCGTGGCTGTTATGCACCTGCAAGTCATCATTGGTGCTAAAACTGGTGGATCCTGGGGAGTTGGGGTTACTTGCTGGCCTCTGCATATGTGCATTCATGGGAGTGAGCACCCATGAAATCACATGCACATGAAACCTTGGCTTGCTCCCATTGGCGAGAAGTTCCCAAGAGTCCTTGCCGTAGTGATGTTATATAATATTTATAAAATGTTGATATGTCCAGTGACATTTACTTTTAAAAAGTGTGCTGTGCCACATACATTTGGAGATCAAAGGACAGCTCTGCAGAGTCAGTTCTTTTTTTTCCCCTTTCTAAGAGAGAGCAAACCTAAGTTGATAAACTTGCCAGCAAGCACCTTTCTTTACCCACTGAGCCATCTCCCTAGCCCTCCAATGACATTTTATAAATGGTCAACCTTGCTGGGTTATCAAACTCTGTAGTGCATCTTAAAGACTCACACTTTTTTGCTCTGAGTTCTAATGTTTAACAGCATCCTAACAAATAATGTTTTCTGTTTTTTTCAAATCCTCTTGGAGTATCTATAGAAGTTAGAAAGAATATCTGTATTTTTTCTCAAAAAAGGCTTTACCTTTCCCTTTATGAAATCACTCATAGGTCATTTATACACTCATGTAGTTTCTCATCTCTGTGAATAAACTAGAATATGATCCTACCTTGCAGATAATCTGTTATCTGTGCAATCTTTGATATATATTCATTATACTGCTTTGGAATCTTTGTTGGACAGCACTATTAGGAGGAAAAAAAACCAATATTGCTTACTATTCTCTCAAGTTGGAGAAAGAATGTAGTTCAAATTAGTAACTTGCCATAAATGGTATGACCCTCTCCTATATGTTTCCAAGGCTTCGTGTGCCTTTCTTTGACAGTTAACCTTTCTATTTCAGTCCTTTCATTTGCTTTGTTTTTTTTTTTTTTATCAGCATTGACAAAAGCATGTGCACGTGTGCAAACACACACATCACAGACTACATTTCAGAGTGATTGGTGTCATCATTGTGCTCTGGGACTTTGGAGGAAGAATTTTGGTTTTTTTTGTCCTTGTCCTCGTCCTGCTCCCCAAGAAAGATGTGAACTGGACATGTAGACATGCAGCCATTCACTTTTGTGCACTTTGCTTTCTTTGCAAAGCACTTAGCCTTTGGATGTCATGAATTGCCTTCTAAATTTAGTGCTGTTTTCTTCTCAGAACCCGGAAGAGTCCCTGAAGATGAAGCTGAATCTCATCAAAGTCGTTAATGGCTGTCGTCTAGGAAAAATACAAAACGTGGGCAAAGCAGGCGACTGCACAGTGGACATCCCAGGCTGTCTTCTGTATACCAGGACTGGCTCTGCCCCGCACCTGACACATCAGACACTGCATAATATCCATGGGGTCCCAGCCATGACCCAACTCACACTGTCAACCTTGTGAGTGCTGAATAACCATTCAGGTATCCAGCCCTTAGATGCAGCAGAGAGGAAGGTTTCTTTTCTCTTTTTTTCTCATATGCATAATTTATAGATTTTAGAAATGAAATCTGGAAAAAAAGTATTAGATATTATACAGCATTTGGTTCTAACCTGGAACCACAAGCCAGACCTGTCTGTCAGCAATGCTTTGCATTTCCTTCAAACTTTCAGGCCCTTTCTATTGCTCCCTGTGTGTAAGAACAAATGGAGTTCAAAGGTTCCTCTGCCCTCTGCACCCATAGTTGCTGGTTCAGCTTTATTGAAATGAGATAAATAGAGTCGACCCATTTGCTAAGTACAAACTAACTGTGTTTAATTGAAACTGTTGTATGATCAAGTAACTGATTTATTCTGTTAATAGTGATTTTCAAGGGGCAGGAGAAATGAAGAAAATCCAAGTGTTGGGAAGCAGTTGTTATTTTGAAAGTTTTTCTTCTCATGCACCACGGGCAAATTGTATACCTTCTTTTGTTTTGTTTTTGTTGATTTTTCGAGACAGGGTTTCTCTGTGGCTTTGGAGCCTGTCCTGGAACTTGCTCTGTAGACAAGGCTGGTCTCAAACTCACAGAGATCCACCTACCTCTTCTTCCCGAGTGCTGGGATTAAAGGTGTGCGCCACCAACACCCGGCTTGTATACCTTCATTTTAACTAAGACCCCAGCCCTGCTGGTTGGATATCTTAAAAAGTGGTGTGCTTTGCTGTTGAGGAGGCATTCACTGTCGTGTGGTTTAATTGAGTGAAAAGAAGAGGGCTTCCGGTGTTGCACAGAGTAGCTAAAGAATGATCCATTGCTGTGCCATGCACTTTTCTGTTTTTCTTACAGAGCAGAACATCATGAAGTCTTGGCAGAGTATAAGAAAGGAGTTGGAAGCTTTATAGGTAAGGACTATTTAAATTACTTGTATGTGTGATTTGTGATGTATTTGGAGTTTGTTAGTCCTTCGGGCTTACTGTGATTCATACATTTATCTCTTTAAATAATCTTTTTAAATCATCTTTTTAAATCTCTTTAAATCATCTTCTCATCTAAGAATGAGGCATTGGGGGTTGAAGGTTCAATGGGAAACACGTGGTTCTTGCTGCTTTGTATAGTCAAGGTTATATACATATATCATGACAGACTACAGGAACATATAACCGGCTCTGGGTCCATGTGAGAGGGCTCAGAATAAAGAAGAATTCTTGATGAAGATGATGAGGAGGCATCTTGGCTGGAGTAGGGAAGAATAGGTGTTAGCCAGGTCAGGGTGGACGCAGTGGTTATGTAAACAGGTGTGGGGCCAACACTCCAAGTTGTGAATTAAGACCACAGGATATATACACTCCAGAGCTGTCTCCTCATGCATGAGCCTCATTCATAAAGAAGGGGGTTGCAGTCGTGTTCCGATAGGTTAGTAGGTTAGTATTAGCTTTTATTCTGGAAGTAGGACTTTAGGCGCAGATAACGTGCCCATTTAGTTGGAGGGAAACCTTAGTTGTGACTAGCATGCACTTGCCAGAGATAATTGTAATAAGTGAAATTTATCAAATAAGGTAAACACTGCAGGTCTCTCTCTCTCTCTCTCTCTGTCTCTCTCTTAAATGAATTCTATGGGAAATGTGGAGTACCATATGCAATTCAAGTATATATGGTTTACTTTTCATTTTTTATCTTTATTTTGTGTGTCTGAATGTTTTGTCTGCATATATGTATGTACACCACATGCGTGCCTGGTGTTTGTAGAAGTCAGAAGAGGGTGTTAGATCCCCTGGAACCTGAGTTACAGATGGCTATGCAACCTGGCACACACAGCTTATTTAATAGGCCAGGCCAGCTCCATCCCACAATTGCTGATGTCCTTGGGAGATGTCTCATGGTTCTGGCATCTCCCATATCCTGGGGTCTCCACAAGCTGCACCTTCACCAATGGCCTGGTCTCTCTTCAGGGATTCTAACCCCGTCACATGGTACCAGTCCTAACTCCTAAAATCCTCTCCTGGGCTGTAGTGCCAAGCTCTTCATGGCCTCTTTATGCCTTCAAAAGCAGCACCACGTTGGGGAGATTCTTACAAAGTTGAGCTGCTAGCATGAGATGCTGTCTTGACCCTGTCTAGACCACTGCTTCTATGTGCTGACACCCAATGCTTTCATCTCTGATGCTGATCTCAAATCACTGCTAATTTCAGTTCCTGCTAACTAGCATAGGTTGTCCCAGTAAAAAAAGGTTTCACGTTAGTGGTTCAGGTGTCTTATTAATCACAGCTCACTCTTCAGCTCCAACTGACCGGAACCACAGATTCTCAAGTCAAAATAGCCTAAGAATGGCCCTGATAGACTTCAAGGAACTTGACAAGCCAGGCCCCCACTCTCTGCATCTGTCTCAGCATTGTCTTCCAGGCTCCCACAACAGCTCAGTTAGCTCCAAGCACACCTTTCCAGCCCAAAGTTGCAAAGTCTTTCTTTCCACAATGCTGCCCAAAGCAACATGGTCAGGTGTGTCACAGCAGTGTCCCCTGGACCTGATACCAGTTTCTGTCTTATGGTTTCTACTGCTCTGATAAAGACACTGTGACGACAAGCATCTTAGGGGTGGGAAGGCTTTATTTGAAGGCTTATGTATCCTGGCAAAAACTGAAGCCGGGGCCCCAGAGGCACACTCTTGCTCTGCATGACTTGCTCAGCTGCTTTAGTATAGAACCCGTGACCACCAGCCCGGGAACATGACTGCCACTGTGAGCAGGGTCCTCCATCAATCGTTAATCAAGAAAATGCCCCACAGACTTGTCTGTAGACCAGTTTCTCAATTGAGCTTCCTCTTCTCAGATATGTCCAGGTTTGTGTCGATGTCAGCACAATGTGAATTTCTACATTTAATTCTTTCAGAGTGGAGGGTCTCAAACCACTTTCTTCCTTTTCACAGGCCCTCTGTAAATCCAAGATCAGGTTCCAATTGTTCGCTGGGATTAGGGTTGCTCTATCTACCACCACATGTGGGCATGCTGGGAAGTTTTTTCCCACAGTTCTTTTTTTTTGTTTGTTTTGTTTTGTTTTGTTTCCGAGACAGGGTTTCTCTGTATTGTTTTGGAGGCTGTCCTGGAACTCACTCTGTTGAGTAGGCTGGCCTTGAACTCACAGAGATCCACCTGCCTCTACCTCCGGAGTGCTGGGATTAAAGGCGTGTGCCACCACCGCCCAGCTAAGCAGTTCTTTTTGTGTCTATACAGGCATGCCAGAATCGATCTTCTACTGCTCCTTGCACGATCCAGTCAGCCCCGGCCCAGCTGGCTATGTAACAAATAAGGTGTGTTCTCAGCCTTGTATCCGGGAAGTCCAGTTATGGTGGCCCTCAAATGCTGACGTAATTCCTTCATGCCCTCTGTTTATGTTCATGATTTTAGAAGACTGTGATTGATGATTCATAAGGGCTGCTTGAAGATAAGTTCAGAGCAGATCTTCAGTGTTTGTATGTTGTTAGAAAAACTTAGAGCTGTGGTCCTCAACCTGTGGGTCCTGACCCTTTGGGGGTTCAAACAACCCTTTCACAGTGTCACATGTCAGATACTTACATTATGATTCATAACACTAGCAAATTTACACCTAAGAAGTAGCAACAAAAATAATTTTATGATTGGGGGGGTCACCACAACGTGAGGACTCGTCTTTCCAGGTGTTAGGAATCTCCACGTCTTGCTGTCTTATTTCCTTTTTATTTTCATGTTGTTTTTTTTTTTTAATTAATTCTGCATCTCTTGCTCCACAGTCTGTATCAGTGTGGGGTTTTGGAGGTCGAGTGGAAATGACTGTTTCCAAGTTCATGGCAATTCAGGAGGCCCTGCAGCCAGACTGGTTCCAGTGCCTTTCAGATGGGGAGGCATCTTGTACGGAAGCAGCTTCTGTAAAAAGGGCCAGGAAGTCTGTGGATCGGTCCCTTCTGTTCCTGGACAGCTGTTTGCGACTACGGGAAGAGTCTGAGGTAAGGCTGCCCGATAGCCACTCTGTGGGACACTCATCTCCCTTCCGTTTCATGGTGCGCCTTAGCTGTTCCTCCTCCTACTCCCCACTCCTTTGTCTCTCCCTGTTCCTGGTTTCCATCGGGAAGTTTCCTGTTGTGGAATAGTATTTTAAGGGGTGTTACATTTGTTTGTGCTGTGGAACGTTGTTTATTGATGCAAAGATGTGTTGCATTCTTTTATGTCTCATTTGTTTAACTGTGAAGCTGTGATTCTTTGCCTGTCTAAAACACCTGATGGTCCTAATCAAAAGCAGAATGGCCAATAGCGAGGCAGGAGAAAGGATAGGTGGGGCTACCAGGCAGAGAGAATAAATAGGAGGAGAAATCCGGGAAGAGGAGAAGGAATGAGAGAACAAGGAGAGGAGGACATCAGGGGTGAAAGTAAGATATGCAGAAATAGAGGAAGTTAAAAGCCCAGAGGCAAAAGATGGGACAATTTAAGATAAGAGAAGCTGGCTAGAAACAAGCCCAGCCAAGGCTGGGTGTTTATAAGTGAGAAAAGGTCTGGTTTATTTGGGATCTGAGCGGTGTCCCCTCCTCCCCAAAGAGCCCAAGAGGGTAAAGAGCCAAAGAGTGATGAAAAACTACACACTCATCAGTTTATGAAACTGTCCCTGACACTTCCAGGAAGTTCCAATCATCCTTTGTTACATCTTATATTTGTATGTTGCCTCAGCCATACTGCAAAACTGTTTTTTTTTTATGCGTTTGCTTTTATTAAGCTATGGTCTCCATAAACTCCATTTTTTCATGCTGTTTTTGTATCTTTTATCGTGTAACAGAATGTCTGACATAGAGTAAGCCAGTAGTGAAGTGTTATGAGCTGATGGAGATGAAATCACAGCATTTGAGAGCAGAGGAGGCAAGGAAGCAAAGGAAATGATCAGTCAGCCCTGGTGGCTCGCTTCTCTAATGCCAGTCAACACATGGGATACTGAGGCAGAAGGATCATAAATTCAAGGCCAGCCTGGGCTATCCAGAGAGGCATTGTCTGGAAAAACAATGGTGATCATTGGGGCCAAATTTAAACATTAGCAGGAGAATTTATTTTGTCTAGTAAGCTTAATTAAGGGAAATTTCACTGCTAACCTGAATAGAACTTGATTTGCAGAGGAGTCCAACATAGTGATTTTGTTATGGATCTGGGTGGTTGGTATTGGCTTCCTAACCAAGTTTGTCATATTTGTAACACTTCTAAAGGGATATGGCAAAGATAATTAGAAAGTCCAAGTGGGTCTTGAGCCCCTCTTCTGAGTTCTTGCAGTCAGCTTTATCTGTTATTGTGCATATTAGTAAGTGTTGGTGCCCTTTCTCTACCCCGAGTGCTGTGTCTCGATATTATTAATGGAGCCTCCTTTCTTAAGTGTTCCATTTTAAATAGTGTAGTACACAACCGTCCTTCTTATATTCATGAGCAGGAGTAACACAAAGCTGCAATGGTGTGAAATGTTCTGTAGATGTCTTTTAAGTCCATTTGAGTTATAACATCTGTTAGTGTTCCCACGATTAGTGTGTGGGGTTTTATATGTGATTTGAGTTTTAGTAATGTTTCTTTTACTAATGTTGGTGCCCTTGTATTTGGGGCATAAATATTCAGAACTGTGATTTCATCTTGATGGATTTTTCCTGTGATGAATATGAAATATTCTTCTCCATCTCTTTTGATTAATTTTAGTCTGAAGTCTATTTTGTTTGATACTAGGATAGCTATATCAGCTTGTTTCTTAGGTCCATTTGATTGGAAAATCTTTTCCCAACCCTTTTCTCTGAGGTAATGTCTGTCTTTGAAGTTGAGATGTGTTTCTTGTATGCAGCAGAAGGACAGCTGCTTTTTTCATATCCATTCTGATAGCCTGTGTCTTTTCATAGACATATTGAGTCCATTGATATTAAGAGATACTAATGACCAGTGATTGTTAATTCCTGTGATTTTTTTTTTTTTGGTTTTGTTGTTGGTGGTGGTGGTGGTGGTGGTGGTGTGTGTGTGTGTGTCTGTGTGTGTTTGTGTTTCCTTTCTTTGGGTTTTGCTGGCGTGAGATTATCTATTGCCTGTGTCTTTGTGGGTGCAGCTAACTTCTTGGGTTTTAGTTTTCCTTCTAGTACTTTCTATAGGGCTGGATTTGTGGATAGGTATTGTTTAAACCTGGTTTTGTCATGGAATATCTTGTTTTCTTCATCTATCTGTGGTGATTGAAAGTTTTACTGGATATAGTAGTCTGGGTTGGCATCTGTTGTCTTTTAGTGTCTGCAAAACATCTGTCCAGGGCCTTCTTTCAGGTCTCCCATTGAGAAGTTGAGTGTTATTCTAAAATGGTTAATGTTTTGATTATTATGTGGCGAGGAGATGGGTTTTTTGTTTGTTTGTTTTTTTGTTTTTTGTTTTTTGATCCAGTCTGTTTGGTATTCTGTAAGCTTCTTGTACCTTCAGAGGCATGCCCTTCTTTAGGTTGGGGAAGTTTTCTTCTATGATTTTGTTGAATATATTTCCTGTGCCTTTGAGCTAGAATTTGTCTCCTTCTATCTTTATTATTCTTAGGTTTAGTCTTTTCATGGTGTTCCAGATTTCCTGGATGTTTTGTGTTAAGAATTTGTTGTATTTAACATTTTATTTGGCTAATAAATCTATCTCCTCTAGTGTATCTTCAACACCTGAGATTCTTCTGTCTCTTGTATTCTATTGTTTATGCCTTTATGCCTGCATGTAGATTTTCCTTTTCCAGAATTCCTTCAGTTTATGCTTTCTTGATTGCCTCTATTTCAATTCTCAAGTCTTGAACTGATTCCTTCACCTGTTTGTTTTCCTTGGCTTTCTTTAGGGGATTTATTGATTTCATCCTTTTTTTTTGGTTAGTCTTTGCCTTGATTTCTTTAAGGGAATTTTTCATTTCCTCTTTAAGGGCCTTTGTCATCTTCATAAAGCTGTTTTTAAGGTCGTTTTCTGCTTCATTTGCATTGGGATGTTCAGGTCTTGCTGTTGTAGAAACACTCAGTTATGGTGGTGCCACATTGCTCTAGATGTTGTTGAATGTATTCTTACACTACCGTTTACCCATCTGGGTTTGGGATACTTACAGGTATGGGTGTTGATTCTTGTGATGTCTTTGTTCATTTCTTGTCTGTTTCCTTTGTTGTCTTTTGGCCTGGATGGTCAAGGGTTCTGGTAATTGACTGGTTGTCAGATCTAGTAGGGCTGTCTCAGCTGAGATTTGTCCAGTTCTTCTGGCTGGTGTACACTTTTACTTGTGCCTTGTTTTTCCAACTGGCATGGGTGGTGCTTGTGCCTAGGGCTGCTGATCTTGAGGATGGTTGGTCAAGGAGCGGATGATGGGTTTGGTGGGTTTGGGTGGTGGAGTGGGACTTGTAGGTTACAGTGGCAGTGGTAGAGTGACCTGCCCACAGGACTTTTCCTTGTTGCCTTGCTGCTGGGCAGAACATGTTTTCATAGTGTGTCCTTTAGAGCTCTGAAGGTTCTTGGAGTATACCATCACTCTTAAACATTTCATCTGCAGTACCTTCAATGAACTCTTTCTGTCTTGTTGGACTTCCATGAAAGTTCATGCAAATGTAAGTCTGAGATTCTTGTAATGGTTAAAAGCATTGGATTCTTTCTTCTCTCAGGTCCTTCAGAAAAGTGTGGTCATTGGAGTGATTGAAGGTGGAGATGTGATGGAAGAGAGGTTGAGATCGGCACGAGAGACAGCCAAGCGGCCCGTTGGGGGCTTCCTTCTGGACGGCTTTCAAGGGAATCCCACAGTCACAGAAACGAGGCTGCACTTGCTGTCATCAGTCACCACAGAGCTGCCAGAGGACAAACCAAGGCCAGTGCAATGCGGCCAGCCTCATGGGAGGTGGCAGGGGTGCTGGTGACAGTGTGATGCAGTCTGCACAGGGTGTGCTTTCCATGTCTTGATTATGTCCTTCCTGTCTTGTTCTCGGCCAGCTGGGTAGTTTCCATCGAGGCTTCTATCCTGGTTTCAGAATGTAGAGGGGGAGAGTTGGCAAGAGATTGGTTTATTTGATTTTCATAACTGAGGACAAATGTTACCCTATATCCTCTCAATATTGAGCCAAATACAGATACTTCTTTTTGTTTGTTGTAACATGGTACCTGGAGACAAGAGTAAAGTCATGTGCCACTCTAGTTTAAATCAAGGCATGTTGAAATTTGCAGTGCCTAATGGCGTGAGGATATGCACTGTTAATAAGGGCCATCAAAAAGTTTCTGCTTTTGTGACAAGCAGTGAGTGGCATTGTTTTGTTTTTTTAATTGGTGTACCTAGTAGGGTTGGTTCTTTTGTTTACATGTATCTCAGTACTGCAGTGGTAACAGAGATGAGGGGATCCCTATATTCTGGATTTCAGAGCATCTGATGTCACACTAGTACCTAAGTTTTCTTTTCTTAATGTATTTATTTTTACTTCTGTGGAGTCTTGTGTATTCCAGGCTGGCCTCAACCTTGCTATGGATCCTCCTGCCTCTGCTTCCTGGGTGCTGGGATTACAGGCATATGCCATTGGCTCCTGGTCTATACGGTGCTGGGTATGGAGCCCAGAGCTTTGTGCATGCTAGGCAAGCACTTTACCAACTGAACTATATCCTGCATTTTCTTGCTTGATTAAAAACTACAGAAGCCAAAACTAAAAACCATAGATGACCCTAATGTCATTGCATTGAATGAAAAATAAAGCAGGCACAGAAAGAGGGCTACTGCATGTGATCTCACTCTTGTCGAATCTAAAATTGTCCCTCTCCTTGAAGCTGCAATGCTGCTTATCAAAGGTTGGGGAGAGGAGGAGCAAGGAGGGTGGTGGGCAAGGTGTTGCTCAAAGGATGCATACTTACATTAAATCAGTAAGTTCGGTGGGTTTGTTGTGTAGCTTGATGGCTATGGTTCATGGTGATAATATTTGTTGAAAACTGAACAGACTAGGAATTGAGTGTTGTCACCAGAAAAATGGTAATTGTATGAGATAATGCATTTGCCTTTTGGCTAGATTAACCCATTTCATGGTGTCTGCAGGTTCCAAAATACATTGTGAAAAATACATACAATCTTTTATGTCAGTTTAAAAATTTTTTGTTTGTTTGTTTAGTCTTTTATCCTTACTGTGAGTATTCTTGCCTTTTAACCTGTGATATATTGGGAAATTTGGCTCTGAGATACTATTTTGTTCTCGAGGGCTATAGGACAGGATGTGTATAATCATAGTACTTTTTGAAAGCCAGATATAATTACATTCATGTATCTTTGAGACAGCTAAGCAAATCACACCTGTATACATGATCCCCCAGAACAGGATCTCATAGCCATCCTGTGCACGTGCATACACACACACACACACACACACACACACACACACACACACACACACACACACACACATTTTTAACGTCACCCCTTTCACTATGCTGCAGATGAGCAGCTCAGCATGAGCTTTTCTAGTCATTTTCTGGACTTTTTGTGCTAAGTGTTCACAGATGTCTCTTTCTGAATTTGAAAGCTGGGATTGTTTTTCTCTACGTGTGTAAAAATGCCAGCTTCAGTTGGAGTGGAGCTCTGAAACTCAGAGGACTTGAAGGAGTCTGTAGTCAGGAAAGTTGGCATACATATACCGGTTCTGCTTGTTTAATATTATATAAGCCCATTTAAAAAAACTCTTAAGAAATCAGAACGTTTGAAAGCTTTTCTCCTCTAATTCATGAAAAGGGCTGTGGGTAGAAAAACAAACAATAAAAAAAGAAATAGTTGCAGCTAGCCAGTCCTAATCACGTACATCTCTGCATCTTGCCTTCCAGTCAAAACCTGCTGGAAAATTATTAATGCTCCCAGACTGCCTTAGTCTCTTCCCTTGGAAGACAACATTTTATTTCCCAGTGCAGAGTTCCATTAGCAAAGAAAACATGAGGAAAGCCAGCTAGAGTCTTAGATCCTGGAGTCAGTGCCGAAATTCTGAGAGCAAGAGGAACTATTGAATGAACCGGTAAAGTACAATTAAAAATGGAGAAGTAAAGCAAATTGTATTCCTTTCCAAACATCTGTGCAGTGTTTAGACAGGGTGTAAAGTTCAGTCTGTTACCAGGGAGGTGGACCAGAAACATGGGAATGGAAAATGTTAGAAATGATACTATTTGCTTTTCAACTGCCTCCTCCGGCCTCGTAATGATTTGTGGAGATCTTTGTCATCGCTCTTGGTTTGAAGTGAGACAGGCAGAACAGGGATGTAAAGGAACTGCTCAAAGCAGTCAGTGCCACTGGGTGTCAAGCTCATGTCCTTTCCTTCCAAGACCTGCCTCACACTACGGCCCATGCCTGCCACCCTGAGCTGGGTGCTGGTTTTGTATGGCTGTATTTAATGCCCCGTTGATTCGGAAGCATTCTCTGATTTCTTTCCAGCCATTGCCTCACATTACTGTTCTCATGACTGTCTTTCCAGGCTCATCTGTGGTGTCAGCCGGCCAGATGAAGTGCTCGAGTGTGTTGAAAGAGGAGTGGACTTGTTTGAGAGTTTTTTCCCATATCAAGTGACTGAGAGGGGCTGTGCCCTGACTTTCACCTTTGATTGCCAGCTGAATCCTGAAGAGACATGTGGGTCTTTGACATTCACTCGCCCTTAGCTTTCAGTTTCTCCTATTTCCTGTTACTCTTTGGCCCAAGTCACAAGGCACAAATATGTACACGAAGCACCAGCCTTTCATTAAAGGTCCCTCTTGATTTCTTCTTTGTGTTCCCTGGGATGTTGGCACCTAGGGCAAGGCACTTAATACTACTATATGTGTAGGTCGTCAATATTAGGATCTAATTTTTGTGGTGAACAAAAACAAAACCTCCTTTGTTCACAGCCTAAATAAAAGAAAATTCAGAGTAAATCATGATGAAAATCTAAGGAAGGGAAACCTTTGAACGGCTTAGTAAAAGTTAATTTGTTTTTTATCCACAAAAGATTTCTTGTCTCCCTTTTGCAAGCCCCATGCAATTAACTCACAGGGAGTCTCACGTCATTGGATCCTTGTATCACCTTTTGCTTTTCTGGGTTGTTTTTTACAAACAGATATGAAAGCTACTTTCTTCTGCTAATATTACTTTGAAGTGATGCCATTTTCTTTTATTGTTTGTTCATTTCAAAGTCAGGACAAGCAGTTTCAGATCCTGACATATGGTAGTGGAAGAGGACCAGGTCACAGACCAGGCCCGCCCACACAGTCCCCGTCCAGCCTGTAGAGAAGGACTTCCTTTTCTTTCTCTCGCTTTCTTTTTAACTCTTTAATCATCGTTGTGTCTGTGTGTACTATAAAACCTGGAGTTTTACCTAGTGAAGATTTTAAAGAAAGTTGCCAGCTCTTCCCCTAAATGACAAGGATTTTCTAAAATGCCAAAGCTTTACTGTGTTCCCATCTCAGCACACAATTCATGTGAACAATTCCATAGCGTTTTTGTATGTAGTGCTTGTGTCAATTACTAAAATTACCCATCTAGAACCATCTGGCTATCTTGGATCCACACAGATTGCTATCATTTCTGTCTTCTCTACTTCCTGTGTTCAAGGGAGCTGGATTCCTGTAGGGTAGCTAGTCTTTGTCTTGCAGTTCAAGGAAATACTCCTCCATTAAGCAAGGAGCTCAAGGATACTGTGGGTTCCTTGGAGGGCCAGAATCTCCAAACAGAAGACATAAATTAAAGCCATATTCTACATTAATCTACTTGGAATATGTGCTATCACAAAGCTCAGTTTATTTACATGTTCATCCTAATAAGCCATAGGAATAACCTCCCCCGTTTTGTTGCTTTTTTTATTTTTTTAATCATTCCTTTATGACAAGATTATATATCATGTACTTAAATCCATGATTAGCTTGGTTAGATATCTTCAGTTGTCTTGATGGTATAGATAATAGTCTTCGGCCATCTGGGAATGTACTGTTATTTGTTTTTTCTTAGGTGATTTCTTTAGGATAATTCCTTAGGGTCAAAGGTTGTGAAATTATAACTAGAATAAAATTTTTCCAGTGTGTGCTCCTTATCTGATTATTCAAGACTTTTTATTGGTTTCCCTTCAGTATTGCAACAAAATGGAATCCAAGAAGAAATAAAATGCTTGGATCAAATAAAGAAAATTGAAACAACTGGGTGCAACCAAGAAATGACATCATTTGAAATTAATCTGAAAGAGAAAAAGTAAGAATTTTTTTGAAGTTTAGGTTTTGAATTCTGACTTTTTAATTTCAGTCTGAAGTTTACGTAACTGTTCCCTTTTCAGTTTATGACTTTGTAAAATATTTGTAGTTGGACATTACTTAGACCTTCTCAAATATGGTTCCAGAAAACCTTTTTTCTGCTGTAGATGACTTTGGATACTTTGTCTTGTCTGAGCACTAAGCTGTATAACTATTGCTTTAGAAAAGCTGTTAGAAAGAGACTGAATCCATTGCTTGACTTTTTTTGATTACTTTTTAATAACAACAGCAAAATAAGGATTACAAAGTCAAACACAGTAGAACTTTTTGTACATTGAAAAGAACTAAGTCCCCTTGATTATATACAGGTTCTAAATGCACTATCAGTGAAGAATGAGCCGAGGGAGTCATGGTAGGTTCATCATTAATCCCAGGGCTTAGGAAGAGGCCAGTAGAGCTCTGGAAGTCTGAGACTAGCCCTGTATCTAGCAAGTTCGGGCTAGCTGCAGCTACATAGGAAATCTTGCCTCAAAACAAAAACAAGAATGTATTGAGTGGTTTTGTAGCTTTGTATTTGACCAAAAGTGGTAGTCACCAGTTTCAGTGCATATTCTGTGAGCATAGCACCTGGTGTATCTGGTTTAGGGGTTCTGACTTATTATGGCTGTCTAATAAGTATAGACCCAAGAATTTATGAAAATATAAAATTTGTACTTCCTATTTATATTCTATTGTAGTTTTGTGATTGTGTGTCTGAAGTGATAACATCTACATCTTTTAATATTTTCTTTTTAAGTAGCCAAGACTATTATTTCCTTTCAAAAAATATTAGGGTAATATAAATGCTTACTACTAAAATAGCCTTTGCATTGTAGATATAATTGGAAATTGTATGCTTATTCTTAGTGCTAGGTTGAAGTTTTGGGGACAAATCCTACTGCTGCATTTGATTATGTGATCTTGGAAAAGTCATGTATCTTAGTAGGCAATAAAAGATAAGTATAATAATTAGTGTTACCTAAATATAATATTTAGGTAACATAAGTATAATATCAGGGTTAAATCCTTTTTGCTGTATTAGCTCCTTTAATAACTGTCACAATTCCAGGGAAGTGGGCTGTTAATATCTTTGTTAATGAATAAGAAACATGCGCACAGCTAGATGTTAAACAGTTGAGTTGTAGAGCGCAGACTCAAGTCCCTAGGCAAGGTATCCTTCCAGAGCTCTCCTTCTAAATATGCAGTAGTAGTCTACATTTCTAAAAGGATGGTCAAAATAGTCGTTTCCAAGAGAAGATGCAGACATTGGCTAAAATCGTGCATGTGTGGGGCTTTGTTAGTGTCAGTAAGTTATAAAGGCTGTGCGGTGGCTGCTGACACTATTGTGTGGGAATGTGGAGGAGCGTCATTACAGAATTTCCTAACACCATGTGCCGTGGCACTGGTAATGCTTGTGATGGATGAATGACTATTGTGACTGTCTCAGGCCCCAGACTTAGAAGGTTGTGTCTGTCAGCATGTCTTTAGCAGGTACCCAGCAAGGCTGTTAGTACCATTGGTCACTTCTCCAGTGGAGTAAGTAACCGGTTGCAGATTTCCTTTTTTTGTTTGCTTTTTTGAGACACGCTTTCTCTGTGTATCCCTAGCTCCCTAACCTTGGTTGTCAATTTCTTAGTTTTCACTTACTGGACTCTTTCTCTCAGGTACCAGGAAGATTTTAGACCGCTCGTGAGCAGGTGCTCCTGTTACTGCTGTAAGAATCACACTCGAGCATACATCCACCATCTGCTGGTGACCAACGAGCTCCTGGCTGGCGTCCTGCTGATGGTGCACAACTTTGAACACTACTTCAGATTTTTCTGCTCCATCCGGGAGGCATTGAAAAGTGACACGCTGGCACAGTTGAAAGAACTAATCCTCAGACAAATGTCTTGAGAACTGGAAAATACAAACCTGCTTGTCTCCAAAAAAACGGTAAAGACTAGAGATCTGAGCTTTTAGCATTTATGGTGGAAATGAAGACCATCTGCCTCAAAGTGCCCATGGGAATGTGGAGGAAGGCCTTCTAGAGATTGCAGTGGACCAGGTTGAGCAGAATGATTTCAGCCATGACTTTTACAATTTTCTAGGCTATTCCACTAGTAGATTCATTTATGTGACAGAGATTTTTGAAACGATGATGGGGTTCTAAGAACTACTTAGATGGGTGAGTGGAGATGACTGTGTGAGTAGCTTGTCGTTTGGAGGCACAGCTGCTGCCTGGAGAAGAAATCTGACTTGAACAAGGGTTTTTTGTTTCTCCTCATGCTGTCAGGAGCTTTTAGGCAAATGCAGACACAGGTTTATGGAGAATCTCTAAAATCTTTTTAGGGGACAATTTAATGTCAGCATGTTTTGATTAGTAAAACAGAATGTCTCCTCCAGGGTCCAACTTTTCCTTGTTAAAAATACCAGGTGGCTATGGTGCACGCCTTTAATCCCAGCACTCGGGAGGCAGAGACAGGCAGATCACTGAGTTTGAGGCCAGCCTGGTCTACAGAGCGAGTTCCAGGTCAGGCTCCAAAGCTATAGAGAAACCCTGTCTCAAAAAACAAACAAAATAAACATGGCAAGACAATCTAGTTGTAATTCATCAGTCAAACAATCCAGGCAACATGTTCTTGAACATGGTCTTGGTTCAGAATCCTCCATGACTTTGAGGAACAGCATTGCACCAGGAGATATTGGGTCTCTCTTCTCAATTGAAGATCTTGCATTGACTGATTTCTAGTCTTCTCTCCCAGTGTGATTTCTCTTACAGATAGAAACAGTTCTGCATAGTCTGTCTCCTAATCAACACTGATGCCCATTTTCTAAATACTTGCTCTGTTTCCCAGATGAAATCCTTTCCTCAGACTGACAGCACACTGAACAACTGGCAGTCTCAGAATTCCTGCGCCGAGGTGTGCTGAACAGAAGGGGGCCCACATTTTTTTTTTTAATGTCAATAAGTTTGTTCTGTGGTTTGAAGTGTTTGGTGATTGGCGTCTGCAGGCCTTGAGGCTGGTTGTCCTTCCTGGGTTCTCTGTGATTCTATGTTTTTGTTGGTGGCATGACAGGGTTGTTTTGTTTTTTGTATGTGTGCTTTTTTATATTCATTTTTCTAAGGAATACGCAAAGCATATATATATATGCATATATATATGTAGTTTTTATAAAAATACAATTTAAAATACTCATTTTTTATAGGTACAAGAAATGCATTTCTTATATTGGCTTCAATTTATAGTGTGCATTACTGAACATTGTATATAGTAATAGTAGTTATTGCATTTTTATGTGTTAGAAACCCAACTTTGTTTTTCCATTTATCAGTGTAATGGTTTCTCATGGATGCAAAGGATACTTACAGAGACAGGTTTCTGTTCTCAATGATCTGTATTGAATGTGTTTTGTACTTGTTTATGTTTATATTCTTGGTCAATACAAACTCATTATTGAAGGAGTACTAAGAATCCATATAAATTTGTGAGTTTTATTTATGTCTAAAACACTGAAAATTCTGTTAAACATTGTTCAGGTCCTTAGGTCTTTTTCTTATTAGCACGTTTGAAAAAATCTTTTATGTTTTAAATGTGTATAAAGGGCAATAGCCAATAAACATTTTTAATTTAAAAAACAAAAAACCTCCACTGTGTGTTGACTTTTTGTTGGTGGTAGTAAATTTACTAAAGTATTAAATTTCCATGGTACAGGGACTGTCCTAAAGGGTTTCTCGTGAGAAAAAAAAAAAACTTGCTCCAGATTTTCACTTTTGTTTATTTTCTAAAGAAATTTCCAAGTTGGATTTAAAGGAATGTTACTCAATAATATACATTACCTACCTCTCTACATTATATAATTAGTGCCTCTAAGACCATGCTGATGCACAGTACAAACAGTCTGAGTACAGTCTTTGGAGCGGTTTTTAACATCTGTGTCTGTGTGTTTGCAGCTATGTCAAGACTCATGTGGCAGAGGACAGCTTTCAGGAGTTGTTCTCTCAGGCTGTCAGGCTTGGGGGCAAGTGCCTTTTACTCTCTTAGTCACCTCAGTGGCCCCCTTGGAGCATTTTGGCAAACAACGTAGTAAATGCATTCATAGTTCGTTGACCCTGGAGGTGTGTCTGTGAGGGGCTATTGTCCCATGTTATGAACCGAGGTTCAGTAGAAGGTTGTTTTAGCCTGCCTGAAAGTCTGCCAGAAATTATGTCACTTCTCAACTCCCAGGTTCAATTCTAGCTTCTCCTGAGTAAAACACAACTGTTAACCTTTGTAGCAAATTCTTAGTTATGAATAGGTGTGTTGGCACCTGCTTGTAATTCCAGCTTTTCAGAGACAGGGAAGGAAGATGGTGAGTTCAGAACCAGCCTGGGCCACATAGCAAGAATCTCCCTCCTCCACTCCTTCCTCCTTTTCTCCATCTTATTTTGACTTGCTTCTGGGCTGAGGGTACCTAGAGAAAGACTGAAATGATGCGACTATCCCAGTGGGAAGAGGTGACCTGACAGATGTGTCACAGTGCCATACTGATGCCTACAGGCGTTTAACATGAATTGTCAATCAATAGCTACCAGGCCCACTGCCCTGCCACAACTCGAGGCTAGTCACACACTGAAGATGGCTAAAAGGGTTTGAAGCTTTGAATAGCTCAATGTAATGCAGTGGTGTGCGGGCTAGTCTTACGTCAACTTGACATATACACGAGAGCTATCTGAAAGGAGAGAACTTTCATTGAGGAAATTCGTCCATAAGATCCAGATATAGCCAGTCGGTGGTGGCGCACGCCTTTAATCCCAGCACTCGGGAGGCAGAGGCAGGCGGATCTCTGTGAGTTCGAGGCCAGGCTGGACCGACAGCCTCCAAAACAATACAGAGAAACCCTGTCTCATAACCCCCCCCAAAAAAAGATCCAGATATAAAGGCACTGTGTTAATTACTGATGGAGGAGAGCTTAGCCCATTGTCAGCACGTAACTAAGACAAGTGGTCCTTGGGAGCTGAGGTTTCTTATACATTTGGGGTCAGGGATATTTTGTTATTCTCTGCAGCAAAGTAAAGAGAAAACATTTTTAAGTCGACACTATATATAATTAAAGCTATTTAATAAAAAGTTCAAACAAAGACCATCAAAGGGTCTAGGCTAGAATGTGAAGCAACTGTCTTATCAGGAATTTTCCCCCCATGGAGCAGCATGGAGCTAACTGAGAAATGCAGTTAAGTTACCATCCTGTGCCTCCCTGATTAGGAACAGGCTGTTCTTTGCAGTTTGATTAGTCGTGCTTGTCACTATGGCCTTTCAGCTTACTAAAACTGGCGGTGCTATGTGCATCCCTGACCTATATACACAGGGAGCCTAGAAGGTCACATTTGACACAGAACAGCTCTGAGAAAGAAAGGCTATGCTTTCTTTATAGGTTTGGTGGAATTGATGTTCATTTTATTTAGTCATTTTAATTTTCATTGTGTGTGTGTGTGTGTGTGTGTGTGTGTGTGTTACGCATACACAACCTCACACAGAATGAGTGTGCAGGCCATGGGACAGCTTGTGGGAGTTGGCTCTCTCCTTCCACCACATGGGTTCCAGGGCTCGAATACAGATCATCAGGTTTGGTAGCCCTGCAGCTTATTCGAAATACTGTTTGAATTAGCTTTGGTTTCTTTTCAGCCTTCACTTCCCCATTTTATGCTTCTCTCTTCATGAGGTTACCAGGCTTTAGGAGACAAATCCCAAATAACAGGGCACAAAGAAAGAAGAGGCAAGTGTGCCAGGGAAGCAATGTGACAGGGAAATAATATGCCCTTGTTGGATATAACAGTCCTGATTTCTGCCTGTGGTCAAGGTAATTACCAATGGCACTTCCTCCACTCTCCAAAGTGTCCTATTTGGACAAGGTATATGCTCACCCAAATGAGAGTGGTGGAGGTGACCAAGCTGGAGAGCAGGTGGCCATTCCGAGCAGCACAGCTGCCACCCACTTCTTGCTAATTGCTGCTGAGTCCAGGGCTGCCACATATCCCAGTCTTTCAAGAGAAGCCAAAAATCTGGGTCCTCACACTTTTAAATGTTACAGCAATTAGAAAAATAGTCTGCTCTTTGAACTTCACTTAGGAATGCCTAATTTGCAAACCGTGACTTAAAATCTACAAAGGAGGCTTTGGTATCTGCACATGTATGTGTGCCTATGTGTGTGCATGCATAGTGCGTGAGTCTGGCAGGATGGCTTAGTGGTTGCACTTGCCTCACAGAGCTTGGCAACCTGAATTCAGTCTCCAGAACTGAGGTAAAGGTGGAAGAAGAGAACCAACGCCACAAAGTTGCCCTCTGACCTCCACACACTAGCATTCCCCTGCCCAACAATGCACAAAAAGCACACACACGCTTGAAAAGGGAGATAAACCCTTATGTGAGGGGCTGGAGATGTAGTCCACTTGATAGAGTGCTTGCCTGAGATACATGAAGTCTTGACCGCAGCACCACATAAAACAGGGCGTGGTGGTACCCTTGTAATTCCAGTACTTGAAAGACAGGAGTGTCCGCACTTCAAGGTCAGCTACATAATGAATTCTAGGCCAGTCTGGAGTACACAAAACCCTGTACAGAAGGGTCCTTGGGCAGTGATCTCCACCAGAAAAGTACAAATCACCCTGCTCAATCAATTTTGTGGATGGTAAGTTTCAGGTCTTAAGATGGCTCAGTGGTTAAGAGTTTTGACTGCTCTTCTAGAGGTCCTGAGTTCAATTCTCAGAATCACATGGTGGCTCACAACCATCTGTAATGAGGTCTGGTGCCCTCTTCTGGCCTGCAGGCATGCCTGCAGGCAAAACCCCGTATTTATAATAAGTAAATAAATCTAAAAGAAAAAAGAATGAAAGCCTTCTTTCTTTTGAATGGCATCTTAGTCTACTCAGGTAGCTCTAACAAAGAACCAGAGGCTGAGTAGCTTTCTTGTGGTCCGGGGACCAGAAGTCTCAAGATCAGTGTGGCTACGTAGTTGGTTTCTGGTGAGGTTCCTCCTCCAAGGGGACTGTCTTATATCTTCATAGAATAGAGGAAAGACTAGAAAGCTCTCTGGGGTCTCTTATAAAGGCACTAATCCCACTCACTGAGACTGCTTGTGTCCTAGTGACCTAAATTACCTTCCAACATTCCAGCCTCATTTGCGGCTGGGACTCCAGCACATGGCATTAGGGGTGATTTGAGCATCCTGCCCATGAGGACTTCAGATTGCACACATTCTTTCTAGTTACCATGTTGGCTTTCTTGCCTCTAAACTCCTGTTTTTGGTTGGGCCTGTGCTCTTCCAGAGTTAGCATCCATTCATTTCCTAGGACTCATTTCCCAACACTCTTTTGTCCTTGCAAAACCAGCTGTCCCAAGGATGCTACACCATCCAGCATCACAATGTGCCCCGGCAGGCACATTGAGAACCAATTACTATTTGTCAAGTGAGCAAACAACCTCAGAATAGTCAAGGCTTTATCTTAAGAGGTTAGCCCGCTATGCTGGTTAGAAGTAACTTGCAAGCTAGGACCTGAGCACAGTGGTAGCTTTATCTCGCTTTATGCTAGGCAAGCTCCCAGTGACCTGGCATATTACTATTATTTTTTTTTTCTGTTACTTAGTTCCACTTCCTATCATTACCACCTTTTAGAGCTGACCTCAAAGCAATTTCCCCTGCTCTGACAAGAGGAGCACACAGTGAACTTTCCTTTTGTTCGCCTTCCTCAGGATCCACGTTTGAAGCCCGGCTGAAGTTGCCAAGGAGTTCAAATGGCCCCATGCACTGTATGATTCAGAGGGATTAACCACCCTTTCTGCACTGTCTTCCAAATGCTCGCCTCTTTCCCCGAGCTCTTCTCTCCTGCTGTCTGTTCCTTTGTCTGTGAAACACATTTTCTCTTATTATCACCTTGTTCCCTGCCCGCTTCAGATGGCTTCGGCTCATCTCTTAACAGAATCAAGATGTTGCTATTAACGGTCTTCTCTTTTTTAACAGCTTAGAGTCATTTCTTTATATTTAGTCCTTTCCTCCTTTCCCTCCCAAACCACATAATCATCTCTGCTTCAAATAAAGTTTTATAGCCATTTCATAACCATGGCTTTATAGTTGCTATCAAAAAAAAAAAGCACAAGAGGAGGAGATAAAAGAAGCAAAGGGAGGAAAAACTAAAATAAAAGGTGAAAGGGTAAAGGCTACTCCAATAATTGAGAACCCAGACCGGCATCTTCTAGACGCCTCTGTGAAGGAATCCAGGGGACCCTGAGTCCTCAGGCCTATGAACTCCAAGCTTGGTGGTCTGGTGAAGCTTCCCTTTAACTTTTATGGGTGGGTAGGAAGGTGGTCTCTCCTCGGAGGACCCGTTTTCCTTCCAAATAATTAAAACACTGTCTCAGAATTCTCCCAGCATCACTCATGTTGGCCATAAATCCTTTCACAGAATCCAATTATGTGATAGATTAGAGTTTTGCAAATCACATCCCCCCACCAAAGCTAAAATATTTACCCATATTTCCTAGCATTTTCTATTCCCTACTCATTTATTTTTATTTTCATTTAGCAAACTTAAATAACATTTCCATCACAATTCCATTTATTGTTCCCCCTGATGCCAGCTGAAGAAAATACAAACGATGCAAATAAACTC